TGTGAGAATGCAGAAAGTTTGAGCCAAACCACTGTGATTCTGCCAAGCATATGCCTAGCAAGCCAGAATGCCATCTTTCATCCCAAACCACAAGCGACAAAAGCCCTATTCATATGATCGGCCGGAGCATATTAGGATTTCAGTCAGTTTAAGTCTACTATCAGCTGGAAAACGTGTACAGCTAAATGCTCTATTGTTGGATTAAAAGCTTTATTTGGGCTGCTATTGTAAACTCTGTACTGTACTTCATTATGTTATTAACTTGATTAAATGCTGAAAATGATTATATCATGAAGAATTGCATTTCCAGTTCTTTTGTTCTTTTGGTTTCTTTCACTGCAGGCCATTAATCAGTCATGTGCATCATGAGATGTTAAAATGTCTCAAATCACAGTCATAAAACTGTAGATCTGTTGCAGTGCAAGCCAACCAAAACTGCTGCATTTTTGGGAACTAGTTGCAATCATGAACAATGACAATGACAATGAAATATCATTAAAAGCATGTCTGAAAGAGATCTGGTTGGCCAGCTGGTAGGTGAAAACAATGAAAATATAAACATCTGAAGAAGCTTCAGAAGGGCAGGTGTCCAGCGGTGCAGCTGTGACTAATGTATAAAAATTGCTAACTGTGCTTGCAGTAGGTTTTTGTAATATTCAGAATTCTCTCTGGTGCACAGAAGCAGCAGATGGTGGCATACATCTGTCCTACAGTTACTTAATGAGGTGATAATTAAGAGCCAGGTCCTCAGAAGAGAGAGAGAGAGAGACCAGATTTTTTATCAAGGCAGGTATATCATATCTGTACTAATACATAAATACACACCAACAGTTGGCTTCCCCACATGTCTGCTGTTAATAACAGTATCAGCTTTCAGCAACATGAGGAAAAGCAGTATGACTCAAAAATATTCCAAAGTTTGTCCAATCCTGGCACACTGTCAGACATGTTACACAAATACATAAATGTAAATAGCTTTAGCACCAACTCACTGGCCATCAAACACAACAGATGGGTGTAATATTTAGAAATCCTGTATGGTTGAAACGTTGTGCAACCTCACCATGAATATAAGGTATTTTGCAATCAATACTTTTATATATGTTTAAGGAAATGTTTGGCAAAAAATCAAATGTACACAATTTCCTCCTTACACTAAATGTAGTCAATCAGCTAAGACATGTATGGTGTCTCAAATTCACTTCTTTAGTTTTGCACAGAAGCTATGCAACTAATGTGGCTAACAAGTAATGGAAGTCTATGTCACCCCACACAGAATTCTATTACCTTAGCCTTGTAGCTCTTGTACCAAACATGTCTTGGCTCATTAGCTGCATTTAGGAAAAGAGGAAAGTAAATTTGATTTTTCACATTTACATTCACAGCATTTGGCAGACACTCTTATCCAGAGCACCTTACAATTTGGTCTTTTTTACACAGGTATGCAAATGTAGTGTTAGGACTCTTGCCCAAGGACTCTCATTGATATAGATTAGGGTTCTTGCCCAGGTAGGGGTTCAAACCCCAACTTACAGTGAGGTGTTAACCATTACACTATACTAGGCAAACCGTACCTTTAATTTGAGTTACAGTAAGTTGAGGTTCTGGATACAATCATTTATATACAAAACTCATTTTACAATAACAAATTGACAAAGGGCTTCATAGTCAAACAGTGTTCTCTGAAACAATCTGTGGAGCAACACCAAAACTAAACACAAAGCTGATAATAGAACAAACAGCATATAACATACAACATACTGAAGATATGAACTACGAATGAAACTCAGTAATAAAATAGCAGGCTCTGCTCAAGAGCAGCAATAACAGTGTCTTGTGAATGCTGAAATCTTCTTTAAATAAGGTGGCAGAAACACATGGTGCTCCTCACATTAAATCACCTGCCTCAAACGTGCCACACTAAAGAGGAGAGGGCTGCCAGAGGCCTGCACACTCTAAGGCGCGTGTTACTCTAGTGTTGGGCCTTAAAATGCTAATCCACAAGCTCAAACACAAAGAAAGAAAACTTTCCCTTTTTTTTGGCTAAGCTTAGGTTTACTATTTTGTCTTGAAAGACTAGAAGCATTAGTAGAAGCATTCCGTCATGTGCCTTACATAATTCTAATCAAAGCCTTCTACTTTTTTTCAGTTACATCCAGACAATTGTTTTTCTCTCTTTAGAGTACAGTTATGATATTGAGAAAATGGTTTGTACTTCTTTTATATTCTCAAACACTGTGTTTATTTGAAACCGTTTATGAGTTGCCATGGACAACAATTGTTATTACTATTTTAATCCTGTAAAGAAACAGTCCATAGTTGGAATTTCTGTGGACTCATTATATTTTCAATGCTTTTATTCCATTAATGAAATAATGAAATTATATATATATATATATATATATATATATATATATATATATATATATATATTAATTATTAATATCTGCTTTAATCCAGTAATAGCCATTGCGCAAAGATGTGCAAATTTCAGAGCCCCCCACTGTAGCCTGTGCCTTGATTAGCTTTTGCAAATTATTTTCTGAGGCTTTCTTCAGCAGCCCTATTATATTCCCTAATATGTAAAGTGAAGCTCTTAAGCATACCAAGAACGTCAACGCTACTCAAATACTCAAGCTGAACTCTAGATGGCAGTGTGCACTCTATACATGGAGACACAGCTTCATTCATGCATGTCCTATTAGAGATCTTGTTCTGCATTCATGATACATAATGTCCATAAATTTACATACATGTGTACAAATACATTCATGAATTCACACGCATATCAATCTAATCACGTCCTTATGCTCAAACTTATTTTAAATTTTTTTTTTTCTGCCTGCGTTGCGCCCAATTCAAAAAGCAGTCTGGGCTGAAACACTCCTTATAACTTCAACGTGAGTGGGCGGGGCTAAGCTGCTATGCACTCTTCACAAAAGGTTCTATGTAGACTGAAATAAAGGTTCTATGACTTCTATTGCCTTTACCAAAAACCTTTAAAGAGCCAAACTGTGTACAGGCTGAATAAGAAGATATGTGTCAATTCAATGGTTTTTGTGACATCACAAAATTTCAAAATGCAGGTTTAACAGCTTAGTTTCTATACATGGACTGTGATGATTGAACGGTATATTTTGACTACATTAATAAAGTGAAGGAAACTCAGTTTTTCATAATATAGGCCCCATGTGTCAAATACAAGGCCCACTGACCTGATCTGGACAAAATCCTATCCAGCCTGCAAAAGTATTTTAGTTTTCTATTAATATTAGCTTGTTTCACAATGCACTGCACTACAGTCCCCAGCATGCACTGCAACGTAACGTGTGCTCCGACTCTCCTACCCCAAAAACAATCTATGGGTCAGCGATTACACCTCAGTTCTACACAGTTCTACACAGTGTCACACCAGTCAAATCACCAAACACACTAGTTGCAGTTCAGCCAATATAAACACTTAACGTTGGCTTAGTAGCTCAGTAACTGAGCCCAAGTATTAATGAACTTGCAGCAAAGAAAAAATACCAGGTGTCTAGTTCAAGCAAATAGGTAGGTTTAAAAGACTGAGTTCTTGGGGTCATTTAAATTTTGAATATTTCTAGTATTCATGTGATATTTCACGGTCTACTACAATATATTTAAAGTTTTTGCGTATTTTGAATAAACAGTGGTCAGTTAAGTTTATAGCAAAATCTTCATTAAAATGAAATAAAACATAGATGTTCTCTGGCCCACAGAATTGTTGATTTTTAATATGGCCCTTTAAGTGGCTGAGTTTGACACCCCTGATATAGGCCCTTTAAAAACATCAAGAAATCAGCCACAGAGGCCATGATGGTAACCACAGTAACCACACAAACATTTAGACTGAACCTTGCACTCATCCTATTGTAGTTATTTGCATGAAACCTGTAAGAGGGATTCAGTGAAACTCAGTGCAGCAACTGGGAAGCACGTGTGTCTCATGAGCTGACCAAGGTGTTGGATTCCAGACATGCTCTGATCACAGTCACCAGGCCAAGGCAAGCTATTTATGGTCAAGCTGAAACACGAGTTTGCCTGTGGTGAATGCCGTGGACAGTTTCTGTCAGCATGCATGCATTCAGACTTCTAAGACTTAAGGGCAATAAAAGCCCTTTTAAAACTGCAGCTCTTCAAAACTTTATCAGTTATAGTTTTGGCTCAATAACAAAATAGACTGGATCACAGCAAAGGCGGCAACATCATAATTAGGACACAAAGCACAGACTGGTAATGTGCCCGGAATGTTATTTTCCTTAGCAACGGGATCAGAGGAACAGACATTCTAGCTGAGCACCTTTACACATTCCCTCTCAAGGAAGTTTTCAAGCAGTGGTAGGGCGTGGAAATGTTCAGTTCACTGGACAAAGCCTCTCTCATCGGAAGTTCACCTGAAGGGTGGAAACCAAACAACACACATACAACAAGAGGTGATATCTGAAAATGCATTGCTCAACCAATATTGGTCTGAGTTGCACAGAAGAAAGCATTGAAAATGTGTCTTTATTTGCATCTGAAGTGTTCAATATACATAGTGTTTGCCCAAGGTGTTGATGAACTAGACTAGTTCAGTTCGGTCCATTGTTTTCCAGTTATGTTAAAATTAATATGCTTCAGCAAGAATTAATCAGGTGAACATACATACATATATACATACATACATCATCTAAACCGCTTATCCTTCTGGGTCACGGTGGGGTGCTGGAGCCTATCCCAGCTGTCATTGGGCGGAAGGCAGGATACACCCTGGACAGGTCTCTAGTCCATCGCAGGGCAGACAGACAGACATACATACATACATACATACACAATCACACCTAGGGGCAATTCAGCATGTCCAATTGGCCTGACTGCATGTCTTTGGACCGTGGGAGGAAACCGGAGAACCCGGAGGAAACCCACGCAGACACGGGGAGAACATGCAAACTCCACACAGAAACGACCCCGGTCGCCCGGCCGGGAATCGAACCCAGGCCCTTCTTGCTGTGAGGCGACAGCGCACAACAGAAGTACAGTTCACTTAAGAGCCATTAATTACAATTATTTTTTAATCATTATTATTACAATTATTATTTAATTTTTCCACTCTTTACCTTTATGCACCCTACTGCCATTTTAACTCCTCCATCCTTTCCATCTTAAACGAAGAATATTTGCATTGGAACTGGACATCTGAGGTGTGGAGTAAGGTTTTATGGACTGCTATGTCTAAATTTGTATTTGGGACTACTTGGGTCATGAGAAGCAGAAAATGCAACCAACTTCAAAGACAAAATTTCTGACCTGCTAGACCTGCCCCGGTCAACTGTAAGTGCTATTATTGTGAAATGGAAGCACCTAGGAGCAACAACAGCTTAGCTGTTAAATATCTATTATATATGCTTTCTACTTATGTTCTGACACTGAAAAATGAATAACTTAAACTTAATGGCTGGTTTATCTGGAAAAAGAATAAAAGAAAGTTTTCTGACTTTTGTACAGTACAGTATAAAAAGCAGTGTCTGAAGCAACAGTATTGTGTGAAAGCATGGCTGTGAAATAAATGTAATTTCATAGGCAAATATGTAACAATAAAAGATTTATTGTGCTTATACTTTACACAAGAAGCTCTCTACAGAGGAACTAATGCATTTACCCTTTTTGTTGTCCAAACAGCAGGGAATATTTGACACAACTGAAACATTACATGACAACACTATACATTTATAGAAGACAGCAATAAATAGGCCAAAGAAATCAAAAACAAGATTTTCTGTTGGTTTTCTTAAACCTTGGGCAAAGCAAAAAGCAAGCAACATGAAATGCTAAAGTAAATATTAAACTGATTCTGAGGTAACTGCCAAAAGAAAGATGCATTCAAAGCCTATCATTGCACGTTGCCCCAGAGGGTCTTGAGAACTCTCTCCATAAACCTTTGTTTATCTGGCAGGAAGAGTCTGCATAATATAATAACTCTATTCTAGTTTCATTTAGAGCATTACAGAGTGACTGATCCATTGACGTAATAAGTAACCTCTCCATTTATCTCAACTTATTCATTAATCCAGTTCATTGACTGGAATGCAGCTTCTTTATCCTGGCCTTGTGAAATGACAGTTGTTCATAACACACATAACATTCCACCATGGGCATTACACTTCAGTGTTAACCTCACTCAAACTGTAGACCACCCATGCACAGATTGATGAATTCCATGATGACACTGTTTTACTTTAAAGTACATCGATGCCCACCTTCCTGCCACCACAACTACTTGCAGCTGCTGGCCTGCTTTTAATCCAGCAAGGCAGTTGTCTCTTAAAGGGAAGAGAGCGCAACAGTGCACTTAACAGCAAAGGCTGGCTCACATGTCACATCCTCCAGGTCCATTTAAAGTCCACTTTCAGCCGCACTCCTCAGAGGAACACCTCAGTCTTTCACACCTTAAGGTTCATTTATCAGTCAGGCTGTCATCCTGTCCAGCAGGAGGAAAACCCTGTAGTCCTGCTTCACAGCACTGGAAACAAATCAATAGACACATCTGGGCTGTTATCACTGTGTAGCGTTGCTAGATTGATAACTGTGATCATTTTGACTGGCACTAACTTATTGATTTTAAAAAGGATTTACACAAAATATCCAAAAGAACATAGCCAAGTCACAAAGTACACTGAATGAATGACTGACATATATTAAACCACACATTGTAATTTCTGCACAATTTGTTTTGCATGCTGAGAATGATCATTTGCTGCTCAGTGCTGTTTTAAAATAAGCATTAGGGGTCTGCGATATAGCAAATATGACGGTACTTAAAGATTAAAATCCCTAGAAGAGCCTTATTTTCAACTGCTATTCAAAAAAGTACAAAGATTTTTATTTAATGTTTCACATATTGTTCTGCACTAAATCCAAGTACATAGGATTAATTATGTTGTCTTTGCAATGAAATGTGCAGTTGTGTAGTAGTCTTCTGCCTATCATTAAAGAGCCAGATGCATTTTGCCTCAAGAACCACCTGCTTTGACAGGAAGTTGAGCATTGGTGGCACATAGTTGCCCGTATTCAGAGCGATGTGTACAGCACTACTGGCTCTAGTCTAGGGGTGTGAATCTCTAGGCACCTCATGATTCGATTCGTTTACGATTCAGAGGGCTGCGATGCGATTATAAAATGATTATCGATGCATCTCGATGCATCTTTTCTTTTCTATACATCATTTCTATTTGACTTAGTAGTTTTAAAGCAATTATTTGTAATGATCCACAATAAATTTACTTCCAATATCTTTTATTAATAAATCAAATGTAAGTGATGTGGCAAGTGAACTAGAAGACTCTCATTCACTGCCTTTGGAGCACATGAGACGCTGCTGCCACTCATCTGCGATAAAATGCGCAGTTACGGTGAAATAAGATCCAGTGGCAACGGATGTCCACGCAGCACGTTACAGCCGTCCTACCCGGTTTTAGTGACTTTATAACTTTGGTTTTGGTCTCGTTGTAGAGAAAGGGGTGGGGGGGACGTGTGCAACATTGCGCGAAAGCCCTGTTTCGCAACGACTGAGAATTGCCGTGCAGACTGCAGGTCACCTAGCAACGATGCGTTATTTGCATTTATAAGCAGCGCAGTTGGTTTCCTGCTACATTAAATCTGCAACGAGAGACTGTCAAACAGTAAAAAGTCGCTAAGATGAAGTCGCTTCTCTTCCGAAATTTTCTCGTTCCACCTTAAATTGTGCCGCATTTACATTCGGCACCTCAGATAAAATTTAAGGTGGAACGAGAAAATTCGAACGAGAAGCTGGAGAATGAGAAGCGACTTCAGCCTCGTAAGACAGCCGAATGTTGAGAGACATTTTACAAGAAACTGCTCTAGTTTTGAGGAAAAGTTTTCTGGTGGAAATGGGAGGAAAGCGGCTAAAGCTAAAGTTTAAAGCAGAGCAGAGTAAATCTGCGCTCTCGTTTATATTGTTTAGCCTATACTAGGACATCATCACATACTGAGACATACTGGACATTAAATGTTGTGGCTCCCAAGGTGGTTTGATTTTTTGTTGAAAGGACAAAATGGCTCTTCTTAACTTTGGGTTGTGACTCCTGACTTAACCTGGCTTTTAATGCAGAGGGAGCCGGTCGGATTTCTCACTCATCCAGTAGTATTTTTGTTATGTGCCGCCACAGACTGTCCGGGCGCTGCACTTACCCACTTCCAAGTTCCGCCTTTTGCGTTCCGTCAACATTACGTTATAAATTAAATATTTAGAAAATTGATTTTTGACATTTGTGAATCGATTCAGAATCGTTCACGTCCGCATCGCGATGCATCTAAGAATCGATTTTTTCCCACACCCCTAATACATATATACGATGGCCATTCTAATATATTGTTTTGTTGTCCTGTCGAGTATTTATTGTCTTGTGTGTTTATGGTTCTGTAAATTTATGTATATTCTGCACTCGTCTCACACTGTCATGTCTCTGCACTCTATGTAGTCCTGTTTAATGTTCTGCTGTGGTGTGTTGCACCAAGAATAACAATTCATCCCAATGTATACAGGTAATATTGAAGTATGACTATAAAGACCACGTGACAGACAACTTTTTAAGGAGTTAAATATATACATAGTTTATATTAATATTAAAGTCTATATTAAAAGTAAAAACATACATATATTTTTATGTTTGTATCCTGACTAAGCTGCTCAGGGAATCCTGACTGTTTTTAGACTGAAGCACCTCATGGAACTCACTCACATTCGCAAGCTACAAATTCTACACATGGGGCTGCCATTAGTAGCCAAATTGCTTTTAATGCTTCAGAAGAGCAGCGCTTCACATCAGTGGACACTGTGTCCTTGTTCTGTCTTACAGTACACAAAAAAGGTACTTGCAGCTGTTAGTATTGCATTCTGTTTATTTTGCACAATAGTGAATGGTGCTTTTTTAATGTACTTGCAGCTGTTTGCAAAAGAATTGTAAGGTTGGATTGAGTTCTGTTTATACAGCAAAAGACACATTATTGTCGAACATCACATTTTATGTCCATTTTGTGCATGATATTCATGCTGAAAAAAAAAGCATGCTGTGACATAATTTATCATGATAATGATAAAATATAATCATATTGCCCACCCCTTAGGTATACTCTATAATATAATATATAGCCTGGTTCAACAGAACAGTAAAGGTAGCTTTTCCAAAAAGCGAACAGCAGGTATAAGAAATTACACTACATAATTAATATACAATTAATTGCACATACAGTTAATTGTCTGCTATAGAGAAGCCTGTTCAATCACATTAGAGGTTATTCATTTTCATTCAAACTAACACCCAACACCTCTCTTCCCCTTGGAAAGACACAGGATGTTTCACTGCGGATATCACACCTACTCATTTATATTAATGAACCACTGTTACCCTGAATGGCTGTGTGCAAGACTCTGCCAAGTCATTTAAGCTCCTCATAAAGTAAACAAACTCAGGCATTGTGTAAATAATTAAAACTAAAACAAGCTTCGCTTAGATTTCCATCTTCAGGCATGGAAGTCCCTGATGTGAAGCACTATTCACATCATCAACACTATCTGTGCGCTCCTTGTTTCTTTCGTTTAAGCACTAAATTTGTTTACTTGTACAATTTTTCATGCATTCAGTAGTTACATCTGCTAGTTTTGTGATTTGCTCGAGGGTACAGCTGTATGGGAAGTAGATAGAAGGAATACAGAATAGGTTAAATAAGGCTGGCTTATCAGAAAGAAGCCAGAAGTTGCTTCAGCCGGTAATGGTCTATTTTTCAAAATGCCTGACATCTTGACTCCATCAAGTGTTAAGCCTTTATTCTTCTAAGACCACATTCCATACAAGAAAAGGTTGTTTTGACCAAGGGGATATTTCAGTGTGCCTAAAGCTTTTGTATGTAAGACAGTTAACAGTGATTTTAAGCACATTTATTTGAGCCAATTTGCTAAGACTAAGGTGAAAAGGTGAGTCACGTCTGCTGTTTTAATTCTTGCTGAGATGTCAGAGAAAGAACTGGCACATGGTACTACCGAGGTGGCCAGATGTACAATGTAATTTGACTTTCAGTAGACAGTCCAGCTGTGGGCTAAAATAATGCCTACCATGGTAGACATGCTTTATGGCTGTTGACTTTATGCACACGTTCCCTTTTAAAGCGACCCACAGTGACTTGCTGCTTTTGATCCAACTCAGTAAGGATCACTGGGTCTCAAGTAAGCTTAAGAGAAACCAGGGCGTTAATCCAGTAATGAAAACACACTGGAAAACATGAAGTTGTTTTAAAGGTAAGATTGCATTTAGCTATGTTATAGTTTGCACATTCAAATTTTGTAATCGGATTAATAATTGTTTCATTCCTTGATCAGTCAGAGGTTAATCCTACTATTTTACTCCAGATAATCAGATCCTAAGAACATCAATGCATAGGTCAAGTGAGCTGCATACGATAAACAATTATGAATGGACCTAAAGGGTTTAAGGGATCCTGAAGATACTCACTTTATACTTCATTTGTATCAGACGTGTCTGCAGGGGCAAATGAAGCTTCATTTGTGTTCAGTGTATGAAGCGCATGAAGTGTTTCTACCTCATCCATTTTCTCCTTTTTTCTTCTCCTTTTTCGACATAGGTTTAGCCTACTGCTGGAGAAAAATACACAAATATTAGGTTTCATTCATGTGTTAGCGTACACATACAGTTGTATGCAAAATTTGTGTGTCTCCAGTCAAATTACATGTTTTTTATTTTCTCAGTGAAAATGCAAAAGGGAACACACTTAATTTTTATTTATTTTTTTAAATTAACATATTGGGAAAACAATATAAAATGTGATTTGACGGGGGGGGGCAAACTTTTGCATACAACTGCAATGGGGTGGGCAAAAATACACGATTGTTCAGGACATTTTTATGACACAAAATGTATCACAATATTCAGCTTTTCTGATGTCTGAGAAGTTGGGACAGACAAAAAATAACCAGTGGTCCCACATATAAAACATATTATCAAAAACTAACTATTGTAACATCATGTGACATAATTTATCACAATTTTATTTATAATTGTTGTTATTGTTATTTTATTTATAATTATTAATATAGTTTATGACAATTATTGTCATACTGTCCCCCTCTAACACGTAACGTATTAAGATTAAAGATTAAAGCTTAAACAATAAGAACAGCAGGTCCTGAACACCTCACATAAAGTTCATTCTCATTGTCCAGTCGAGGGATAGGCCTGCTTTTAGGTCCAACCACTGCATCTGGTTATGTGATCAATATGACACTCCAGTTGAACATTTAGATTTTTAAAAAATAAAGACACATTATGATCTTAGAATGTTATCGGTATTGACAGATATTTGTTTCAAAAAATTATTGGCATTGTACACATATTAGGATCTGACTAATATTTCAAATCAGCATTTGATGAGGTATTTATGTTATTCTAGAAGAGTAAGACATTTGGACAATGCTGGGCTACTGTGATAAACAGTCTGCATATTTTTCATTTTACTGTGTTTGGAAACCCTATAGAAATAAATGTTATACTTCTCTGTAATGCTAATCCAGGTGTATCTAGACCTTATTTCTACGCTTTCTAAATGTTTATGTATCAGCATCTATATTGACGTCAGCAGATACTTTAAGAAAAATATTGGCAGATATCAGATATTAGCAGCAGCCCACAATTACCATATCAGTGCATCCCTAGTTAAAACCACATATTCCAACATCACAACCTGCTGAATACAGCAAGCTCATATGGATTTTCTTCATGACTCTAAGATCTGTCTCATAAACGCCACACTGCAATCTGATCACATTCCACTCTCTGGTGCCGACGCCTTTTAATCTCACTGGAATGCGGACATTTGGATACAGGAAGAATTTTATTGTAAGTATAGAAGCCCCTACAAAACTAAATTTTGATCATAAATATGAGACACATAGTAAACATATCAGAACTAGATCATATTACAGTCATCTTACACTCTACGTACTAAAAAGGATGTTGTCTGTCACTTACTGTGCACAGATGCATATGAAGACAATGACTAGAAGCAGAAAGACCAGTCCAGCTACAGCACCAGCAATGACTATATGCTTCCGATCTCCCACCAGCCAGTCATGGTATAAATATTCACATCTTGCACCTATATATCCTTCTTCACATCTGTGTAAAAAAACAGAGATTAGGAGAGGTGAGGAGATGAAACTGAGAATGGTGAAAAAGCACACTGTTAATATAACATAATTTTTTTCACAGTGTATCCTGTACAATGTTGAGCTGTACCACTTACATTTTTTTTCTATTTAAATGCTGGAACACTGAGGTGTTAACAAAAAATATATTGCTTATGGATATTGCCAGATGTGAGTTTTTGGTCATATTTATGCAAATTATTATTATTTTTTTTTTCCCAAATTTTTTCTCCAATGTAGTCGTCTCCAATCCCACCCGCTAGTTAGGACCCCCCAATTCCATGATACTACCAATGCTAGGAGGGTGAAGGCTAGCACAGACTGCCTCCAAGAAGCCTCCAAGCCAGCCACCGCATCTTTTCGAACTGCTGCTCACGCAACGTCATTGGACAGCTGAATGCACTCAGAGGATAGCGCCAACCGCCAGATCTGTTACATCAGCTAACAATGTGAGTAAATATATTCATGTATTGGTTTCATTTTTGTTTATTTTGTTACTTTTTTTTTATTTTCAAAAATACTTAGCATTTGCAGGTCTGGTAAAACTTAATGTAAATTTTTCACCTGGCTCCTGACTGACATCACTTTTATAGTTGTTCTGTAAAAATACAGGGAATTACTGCATTTAATTATGGCTTATTACTGTGCACAGCAGAATACAGCTGCATCACAGTAATATTGTGATCCAGGTGACTGTGAAGTTACAAACTTGCTATTTTACTGTTAAATATTGTTCATTTGGTTCAATAAATTACTGTGAAAGTAATACTTCCACATGGAAGTAAAAGTGGTAGCCAGTAGTTTACTGCAACGAATTAAACCTATAGTCAAATAAAAGTATTGTTAATAGAAGTAAAAGTAACCTAATGAAGAAAACTTGAGGAGGAAAGTATTAGGTCAAAAAACTACCCAAGTGTTAAGTTCCCTGTAGAACTCCAGAGGAATGTCTTAGTACATCCAGCTTACAGCAGCATAGGAACCTGATATTTCCCTCTTTTTGGTCTAAAATAAAATGCTAAAGGTTGAAAATGGGAGATGTGAGCAATGCAGCTTATGTGCTCAACCAACATAACAAAATGAAATCCAAAAAAATCTTGCTTTATTTAAACAGTGTCTAACAAAAAACAACCTGAAAATAACAGTTTGCTGTAGAACTGTTGTGGAACTTCTTAGTACATCCAGCATTAGAACTAGGGGTGTCTCGATACCACCTCCTGTCCGATACCGATACCACAACCTTGAGTATCTGCCAATACTGATACCAATCTGATACCGTCTTTTTCTCTCTCTTAAACACCTGAACTGTTGTCTGGATACACTTTGCTTAAGACAGCCATCTAAATAACATCATGCTCAAACTGCGAAACAAATATTTTACTCCCCTAACGGAAGTAATACATAGTCCCCAGCATGACTTTGTTATGCAGTACTGTTGTTTATTTTTATCTAAACTGCTTGCACATACAGAACTTTTAAAGGCATTTTTCATTGGTCAGCACCAGTCAAACATTCAAAATTAAGTACAACATTGTGTGAACAATCAATGTAGCCTATACCTCAAACAGCATTGCAACTATGGAAAGTTAAAAAAGGTTCAAGAAAGGTGTAAAACTTTGGCTTTGCTGCTGACTGGATTATTAAGTTGAGGCATATGACTTTTTCATTTCGCTTTCCATTGTTTCAGTCCTGCATATGTGCGTACCCATGACCATGCTTTATCAGAGGAAACGTGAATTTGAGGAGGACCTGAATTGGATGCATTTGGGTGCATATTTTTGAGATGTGCCCTCAGGTTGCTGGTGCTAGAATGGTAGGCGAACTGTAGCTTACATAGCTTGCCTACACTGTTATCTCAAAGGTCCACAAATGTGCCATCTACTGACCAAATTCTGGGGCTTTCAAGATTGCTCGGAGCAAATCACTCTCTCTGCAGCCGAGTCATGTTGTGAACTCTCTGCCATCGTTACCACATGGCTGTTGAATTATTCACTCATTTCAGCTGGACCAACATTTCATTTTAAATCATGAAAGTGATGTTGTGTGACTCCTGTCCACCATGCAGTGCATTCAGTGCAGCGGCCCAGACCCACACCAGAAGTCCCTGAGGCAGACAGTTGTGGTAATGCTGTTTTTTTTTTTTTAACAATGGAATATTAATTTTCACAATCAAATGTCTCTTTTTTATTAATTTTATGATATAATTAAATTCAGAAAATTCACTGACAGCCCTAGTTGTGATACATCTTGCTCAAAGTTTCGTTAAAAATTTACCTGATAGTTTAGGCTAATGAATCGTATCGCATTATACCTTTTTTTTCTGCCGATATCCAATCCAGTGATTTTGGCCAGTATCGGACTGATACTGATACTGAGTATCGAATCAACACACCCATACTAGGAACTACATTTGTTAGATCTTTTTATTCTAAACTATAATGCTAGACCTCAAAAATGATGCGAACAACTTTAAACCTGCCTAGGTGCTAAACCAACAGAACAAAATGAAATCAAACACCAAAAAGGAATCAGGAACTAAATATGAAGGGCTAAAATGGAACCAAGTAAAAAGTAAACAACTTTCTTCACAACTATACTTGAGTATAAGTATAGAAATAAGTATAGTAAGTATAGAAATAGTATAAGTGTTATCATTTTGAAATACTGAGGAGAATAAATTCTTCAAAATTACTTTGGTAGAGCTGAGTAAATGTAACTAGCTACTACCTGCCAACATTTTGCTCCTGTAGCTCCTATATTTCAAGTGACACACTGCAACTAAAGCCTGACCTGTTGCTTGAAAGGTGTCAGACAGATCAAAGTCTCACCTGCAGGCAGGACTGTTCTGCTCCTGCACAAAGTGGCAGGTTCCATGGATACAGTAATGTGTATACTCTTGAGGACACTTGGAAAAGTGGCCATTCCATCTGTGGTCATCCTCTGCATCTATTCAGAAAGAAGCAATTAAAACACTGACACAAAAGCACAAGTTGCCCATGTATATGAATGCAGTACTAAAATCCAGTGCATGTATTTGAATGCAGTGCTAAACACTTTCCATTTTCCTTTCCCCTCATTTCTCAAACTAAAGAGACATGTTGGCAAGACAAAGAAAATCAGGAGATCTTTGATGGAGCAAAATAAAAGTACAGCCTTGCACACTATCTTTCACTCTGAACAGATAAGAAGGGAGAAAAAGATAAACAATAGACTAAAATGAAAGTAGAACCTTTTTCATATTTTTTTTACCCATTGCCAAAATGGACATGGTCTGTTTTGTGTGCTACTATGCAAAAGGGCAACCTTAGCCAAAGGGGTGAGGCAGCAAATTGGTTGCTGTTCAACTGCCCCGTGAAACGAAACCTGAAGCTCCGACTCCTTCTGAATGACTTACAAGATGAATGGAGTTGGATCTGGTTACTACAGCCAAGCACATGCAACATGATATTCTAGTTCAGTATCAGAGGATTACCTATTATATGGACACTTTGATGTATTCTTAGTTGAGGATCTTTCACAAATCTAACCGCCCTTTGTGTTAAGGTCAACAATGAAACATCAGTAGGAACCATTATTTATAAAGACAATGCTTTCTACGGTTAACTATGCATGGCTACAACTTCTACACTACGGTACTCAGACTTGTAGTGTGATGAGTTTTCCTCGTTTGTTCTTTGTTTTAAATGATTAAAAGATAGAAAATGGGACTCCTGACAACCGTGCAAGACCTGATAGACCACCAGAACTGTCACCATCAGATAATCAGTACTTAAATCATTCATCTTTGAAAGACAGGAGAAAATCATGCTCCACTCTTAATTCAGATCTGAAAACATCCACAGGTGTTTCTGTCCATCCTTCCACTGTGAGAAGACAACTCAACACTATGGGTCTGAAGGAATGTGTAGCTGTCAAGAAGCCTTTACTGAGAAAAGGAAATGGACAAAAAAGAAGAAATGTGTGCAAGAACACTTGGACATATGAGATGAGCCTGAATTTGCATTTGGGATTACGTGGATCATAATAAGCAGAAAATGAAACCAACTTCTAAGACTGAACTTTAAAAGTGTGAAAAAATATTCCTGCAAATTTCCCTGAAAAACTGAAAGGAAGTCTCTCGAAAAGAATGAAAGCTGTAATAAAGACGACACACTAAATACGGAAAAAATTGCTATTATATTTAGTTGCCCATGTAATTTTCTGCTAAATACATGTTTTCCTGACACAGCAAAATGAACAACTTGTACTTAATGGCCATTTTCACTGGAAATGAAATAAAAAGGCTGGTCTCTTGCACAGTACTGCATATAAAGCTGTGTTAAAAAACTGTATTTTTTTCTGCTGTTGATATCATTAAATATATGTTTTCTTCATTTTTTCCTGATGCTGAAAAAGACATAGCTTGTACCTATTGGCTGTTTTGACTGGACATTAAATAAACTAAAAAATGGTCTCTGACTTTTACACAGTAATATATTAACTAAAGGGAAGTGGGAGAACAACAGTGTCGGTGAGAGCCATGTAACACCACCTAGTTGAAACATGCCTTCATTAAGATTTAGGTCCTCTGTAAATGTGTCAGACTAGGGTGCTGGTGCACAATCCAGCAGATTATAAAACAAAAATGTTTTACCTTTATCTTTTACATTCCTTGTGAATATCTTCCTGGTGTGTTATAAACAGCTGGCGACAGGTATACACTGGTTCCATTCACAAGGTTAGAGAGGCTGTTTCGCCTGAAACTTGTTTTATTGGTTCCTGGCAGATAATTGGAAATGAATAAACAGGGCGGTGCACGGCCGTGTCATTTACCTGTGCAGTTGCTGCTGTTGTCATGGGACCTGCAGGACACGGTTTTATTTGCTGTATCTTTTGTGGCATTCCATTCAGCCTGGGAATATTTGCATAGGGCAAAAGCTGCAGGCAGAAAACAAACGAATCACAGGTGGCATACAGCACACATCTGAAGACAAATCCACACAAATCCTCAAGCATTTGTTCTCCAAATATGATAAAGGGACAAGAAAATGCCACATATGTCCTGAATTTTAGACTAGGGGCCTAGTCGTAAAGCTTTGTTGCAGCAACAGTCATATCAAAGATATCCATTAAACATTCACGTCAGTGGTAAAAGTATCAGTTTCAACACCAAAAGCTTTTTAAGAATAATTACAGCATGCCAAACAGGCTCAAGGTGAAGGTTTCCGTACTAGGTTACTACAAGGCATTCTCTTCCACTCCATTACACTCTCGCAGCTAACCACTCCCTCTGTGTCATTCATGTGCAAAAACTAGCACAGACCCCCTAATGCATGCTTGGAAAATAACTTTGAAGCCAAAGTGCAGACCGTTCAAATGACATTATACAGCACAGGTTACAGTAACATGTCAAAACAACACTTCTTTTTGACTTTCCTCTCTGAAAGTAGCCGAAACACTCTCACCTGTTAATATCCCCAACATCAGTTTGCAAGTCTTGTCCATCTGTCATTTGTTGTGGCTCCAAATCAAGAGTTCATTCTCCAGGTCACCTCTTCAGACAGGACACCGCCGAGAAATCGCAACCAACTATAATTCCGCCCACCTCACCTACTTTACACGTTAAGAATGTTTCATAAACATTTTACACCTCATTTGACGTAGTTATATCCACACCGCACGCCTGGGTTAACTTTCCTTAGCACGGTTGGCTAAACCTCCCCTCAGCACGCGAGAACTTTCGGCTTGGTTTACCGAGGCGAGGGGGCGGGGCCTCTGCTTTCGTCACGCCCAAAAAAATGAGCCGTCATACGGTGCGGGCTGTAATGACCTATTAATAACAGTAATAACAACATCTGCGGCAAAGTAACCCCTCTCAAACCCCTCTAACTCAGGCATATAGTGCGGGGGTCTGCAGTAGCCCACCAAATAAAATGATTTTCTGCGTTGTAGCTGTGGGAAAGCTGGTTTAGTTTTTCATCCAAAGTTTCTGAATATGAGAAATTCCGTTTGAAAAAGTAAAATGCTGTGCAAATTCAGTTCGTATAAGAAAAAAATAAATAAATTCGAACTGTAACAATACATTTTTTACATCTAACAACAACAAAAAATACAATTAAATAAAGTGAAAATTCAACCTCAAAGTGTTCATTTTACATGTGAAAACTGAATTAGTACTTGAATTTCCATCCATTAAAAGCACTGGAAAAAGTCATAGATTCTTAGATGAATGAATTCATATGTGCTAAAATATATTTCCTACTAAAGCTGAATTTTGAATGTTAGAAATTTATTTTTAGGCCATTTCATGTTTTTATGAGTACTAATAATTATTTTCCTAATAGTTGTTGTAGCCCACTTAAAGTGACATTTCTAAAACGGTGGCCCAAAACCAAAAATGTGATACAAGTGATAAACACAATTGATTCAAATATATGTCATTAACCTCATAGATAAAATATTACCACAATCATTGCCAAAAGTAAATAAAGTGAAAGACAGCACAGTGTTGATTGAGTATACTATTTTTCTCATAAGCAGAGTTTCCCAGTTAGCTGAAGAAGCCCACCAAGCTTGCAACTTTCTTAATAGCTTTAACTGACCACCAGTCAAAGTGAGTTTGACTCTTTGGCCTTATGTGAAAACCACAGTAATCACTGCAATCCACTATAAAGTGTAGGCCTAAGTGCTGTCCTACACTTATTAAATCATTAAACTCTTATTGTTTGCTTTGTCATTGTTTACATATACCTACATTAAAAGATATTCAATTCATAGAATAACTGTTTGAAGACTATAGATTTAAGATTACAAAACCTTTGTCATTCCATTGTCTCAAGATCCCTGACATACAATGGAGACCTTGTGTTCTCCAAATGGCTCTGACATTTCAGTATTGAGTATGTACCTCCGTGGCCAGACGGCGCCTCTTAATGAAGCTGAGAGTCAGCTGAGAGCTGCGGTGCGCTGTGGACACAACAGCCGGTCAGAGCGTGTGTTTGTGTTCATTGGCTAGCAGGCTTGAAGCTTTCTCCCATGAGGCTGAGAAGATGTGTGGCTGGCATAGCCTCCAAGAGCCTGCTCTCCCTCTCTGACACAAGCTAGGCATTATCAAGTGCCACGACAAACAACGAGCCCTTCAGCCTCAGCTCTCCCCACCTTAGCACTGACAACAGAGGGGTTTCACTGCACTCATCTAAATGAAAACATCACTGATGATAGTATCACATTAGTGCATGGGAATAAAGAGCCATGCCAGTAATCAGATTAAGATCTCCAGCTAGTTCATTTTGTTAAAGATTCTCAAGAATCCTCATCCCAACAGAAGCTGAGGACTGAATATTGTCTTAAACGTAAGCAACATTACAAATGTAACCACTCAACTGACCATTGGGGTTAAATGGTCAGGATATAAATTCATTTTAATATAAAGCAAGAAGAAATCATTCATGTAACCTACATAAATGGCAAATTATGGAATATCATCTCCACAAGTTGTTGCCATCTAAAGGGATTAGGTTGATCTAATGCTGATATCATGTAAACAATGCATATTAAACATACGCACACCAATCAAGAACATTGATTTGTATGAATAATTTTGTAATCATAATAAAAACCTAATAATGAATTAGCTCTCCTGGATCATAAGCATTCCAAATGGGTTGTGAAATGTAAAAACATTTTAGTCTAGAGAAAAACAGTAGTCTAAAGCAGTGTTTCTCAACCCTGGTCCTGCAGGCCCACTGACCTGCTTAATGTAGTGCTTCTCCTGCTTCAACACACCCACTTCAACTTAATAATGGGCTGTTAATGAGCTGATTAGTTGGGTCAGGTGTGTTGAGAGCAAGGAAAAATATTAAACACTGCAAGGCAGTGGGCCTCCAGGACCTGAGTTGGGAAACACTGGGCTAAAGTATGGAAATATCACCACCTTGTGGACAAGAGGACTAGATTCGGGTAAACTAAAAGCGGAACATCACTCATTTAAACTCATTCACTTCATCCAAAAAGCAGAAGCTAACGTTACTGCTTTGTTTCTGATCCTTTTATTTATTATGTATAGGTTGTTCCCTTAGGGTTTTCCCTAAGGGAAAATCAGCTTCAGCAAACTCTCTACTGCATCTTCTTCCCCAGTTTTATTCACTGCTACTTTTCCGTTCTCATGTTACTTGTTCTAATCATTTTGTTAAGACTCCAAACTGACCTGACAGTTGGCTGCTTCAGATGGTGCCTTGTAATTACTTTACTAGAATAGCTGATCTCCAGGGGCTGATTCACATTTTGTAGGTTAATTTTAGACAGTGTTAGCTTACTAACCATGCTCTGGAATTATGTAGCTCCTTTAAAACAGCTAAACAGATGACTCTGTGAACGAATGCTTAATGGCCCATCAATATATAGAACATTGTAAATGTATAAAGCCAGCAGTGTTAAATAGACATTTACAGTATTAAACAGTGTTCTAAAATGTTCATATATATGTGTATTTAGGCCAACCTCATATGTATATGTATTGCGTGTGTTAATTTAACAAAGATGATTTTGTCATATGTTACCTGAAATTTGTGCTGTTGTTGTTGTTTTTCTTTAACTATTAGTCTTACATTAACTAGAGTTCATTGCAGAGTTAAAATGGGCAGCTCAACTTCACAGCCAAACTTAATTTATTTAAGCATTTATTTAAACATTTTGTCTCAGAGGGCCAAAGTGCAGTGTTTGTGGTAGACTGAAGGTCTAAAATGCAAAATTATATCCAAATAAAGTAGGCAGCTTTCGAATAGAGCTTTTAAAAATGTATTTCATGGCATTATGTTTGATTTTGTTACTAGAATAATCAAATAATTAAAAGGAAAATATCAATTTAACTGAAAGGGGAAAGTTCATAAATAAACTCTAAGTTGGTGTGAAAAAGCAATTGCTATGGTATCCCAGGTTGTTGCTAAGATGCTTCTTGGCCATTGCCATGGAATCCCAGGTGGTTGCGTAGAATAAGAAGACGAAGAACAGTAAGTTGGCTTTGTGTTATGTGAAATGTGAAAGTTTGTCTGAGGGCATGGGGTTAGGGTAACTTTTTGGCAAGCAAAATCAAACGTTCTCACAGGTCTGTTTAGGCTCACGGGCCACTTTTTGGGCAGCTCTGATTCAAACTCTACACAAGACTTGGAATAGACAACACATTTGAATACGATGAATTAAATAAAAGTATCTTTCTTATCAAAGCATTCACAAATATTGGCTTTCATTTAAACTTACAAATGTTTCACTTTTAAAAGAATTTCACTTCTTTTTCTTTGTCACTCATCGGGTTTAAATAAGGAGCAAATGCTTTTACAAATGTTCTGATTATCAAGAACACTAATTTGGCCTCTGGAGGATCTGGGCCTTGCCTGACAGCTTGTCCATGTAAGGAGTACTTTGGCCTAATTGGTGGTCCCTGCCGGACCAGATCTAACCCTACTGAGGGGTGCTTCATGCCGGTCAGCGGCTTTGAGCCTCTCCCTCTCACTGACAGCTGTTGTATTTAAGCTCAGACTTTCCACCCCAATTAGACACACATTCGGATAGCAGCATCAGTGCAGGTGGAAGATGGTGAGTTTTTTTTTTTTTCGGAAGATTTTCTATTTTGTTATGGAGCTGATATGAACTAAGAACCATCTGTTGCTGCCCAAGTGATTAACTGAAGGATAATTGATATAATATCTCAATGTTATCTAGTTATGACACACCTTAGAGAGGTTTTATCTGGATAACAATTTTAAGTTGCATTATGGTTAATCTGCATACTCAGTTTGCTTAGTGTTAGCATTTCTGTTTCTTACACAAGTTAGTCTGCCACTGAGCAGAAGTCTTATAGCCCCAGGGAACCTAATGTTAATCCATGTTTTTTTTCTAAGCAGATTCATCTGCTCTTGTGGGCACATAGTATACATGTACAAAGTATATTCTGTGAATGAGTTTCAAATGGTTTATGTATTATGCCATAATCCCCTGCCCTTTCGATGTAATTGTGTGAGGATGTGGTTCCTCCCACCCACACAGCTTTAACAAAACTGTGTTCCCCCACAGTCTCTCTGTTTGAGAAACTTACAGAGCGAAAGCGAAACCAAGCAAAAGTTAACTAGTATGCATAACAGAGCAACAGCAGTGCTGGACAGAGGAATGTAAATCAAGCGTGCTCATTAGCATTCTAGGACAATGTCCAGACAGGTCTCAGATAGGTCTGTTGAGCATTTTTTATCATCATTTCTAGTTTGTTTATTTCATCCGAACTATACTGAATGTCTAACATTACACTCAATGGCAGTAGCAGACAAATATGTTCCATATATTGTACTCTTCTAATGCTTAATATTGTAACCTAAAGATGCAGAAGATAGAGTCACAAAAAATGCTGGAGTACTGAATGAATTTTGTAGTAATATCACCACTTAACCTTCCTTTCAGGCCAGCAGGAAGACCAAGAAGAAGGAGGGAGGTGCCAAGCGTGCACAGCGGGCCTCCTCCAATGTGTTCTCTATGTTTGAGCAGACTCAAATCCAGGAATTCAAAGAGGTGAGGAACGATCTGATAAGAAGAAGTTCACAAATAAACCACAACATCTAATATTAGCAAATTTATCTTCGAGACAGGCATTTACACTCATCGATCAAAACAGAGATGGCTTCATCGACAAGGAGGACCTTAAGGACACATATGCTTCTCTTGGTTAGTGCCGCCTGCTTTTAAATGAATTTCTATGATTAAATACTTACTTCAGTGGCTACTTGAAAAAATTACTTGCTATCCACAGGTAAACTGAATGTTAAAGACAATGAACTGGAAGACATGCTTAAGGAAGCCAGTGGCCCCATCAATTTCACCATGTTCCTTAATCTGTTTGGAGAGAAACTGCATGGTAAGTTATAATCTGTGTGGATGTAAATGAAAAGACTGCAAATGTACTATTGTAATACACAGTATATTGTGATAGTTAGGGCATTGTAATACATTGCAATATGCAACAATATTTATGCACATATTCAACATTTTATTGAACTTGGTCTTATAAGACCTCCAAAAGCATGGGGTATTTAACAGGTCTCTGAATTTAGGCACTGACCCTGAAGACACTATACTTAACGCCTTTAAGATGTTTGATCCTGAGGCAAAGGGCTACATACATACAGCCGAGTAAGTGCATATGCCTGCTTAATGCTTCACATAAGACAATTTGACAGCTACGCAAAGTGCAAAATCCAGATTTCAATTATATAAATGCTTAAATTCCAGATTACAACACATCCTAATGACGCAAGCTGACAAGTTTAGTGCAGAGGAGGTGAGAAATCTAAAAATATAACCCTGTCCTTACTGTGATGCTAATAAACCTGTTTTATATTTATATCTCACATTGTGTTTTAATCATAGGTACGTCAGATGTTTCAGTCCTCGAACATTGACTCAGCAGGCAACCTGGACTACAAATCCCTTTGTTACATTATCACCCACGGCGAAGAACAGGAGGAATGAGGAAACTGCTGGTTGAAAGCTGCATATCACTGTTGCTACTCTCGGCTCATGGGGCCACCTGCTAATAAAAGCAAGCTGTGCCACATTTTTCATTTTCTTACTTGGAATGAAAATGTCTGTCTTAAACAAAGAAACAAGTACATGTTAAATTCTTCCACGCACACCATGTTTACTCTCCTGTCAACAAAGACACTCTAAAAAGCTATAAAACCTCATGAAGAGTGATAAATATATCTAGAAATTAAGGAAATAACCGATACAACTACCAGAACCATAAAAACAGCATTTTTAAAAATTGTAATAATGAACATACTATACTTTTGCAAAAGTCAGTGACCACTCTTTCGTTTATTTAGTGTCCAGTCAAAACAGCCAATAAGTTCTTCCCTTGTTCAGTGGCAGAAAAAGGTTATAATTCTGATCAGATTACGTATAAGAAAATCCATTTGCGTAAAAAGGAGAATCTGGAGTTTAAAAAAAAGGTAGAGAGGTTGTTATTAAAAAAAAAAAAAGTTAATAAACGAGACTCCTAACATGCATTACCTGAGAGACCACCAAAGCTGTCACCATCATATAAACAATACTTAAAGCTTTCACCTTTAAGAGAGAGGAAAAAAAAATCAAGAAAATCAAGCTCCACTCTTGTTTTGGTTCTCAAACCCACTGATATTTCTACCTATTCTTCCATTTTGAGAAGACTGCACTAGGAATCCCTTTGTTACATAATCAAACCAAAACTGGACATTTGAGATGTGGAGTAAGGTTTCACAGAGTGAGTATTCTAAATTAGAGATCTTTGGAAGTAACAAAAGGCAGTATATACAACACTGAAGCAATAAAAGACTTTGAATTATATCTATGACTATCAGTGAAGCATGATGGAGGATGGGGATGTATAACATCTGGTGTTCGTGTTTTTTTAATGCTAATATGATGATGATAAATTAATCTAATCTTCATTACTGCATTGATATCTTACAAAACATATAAGACAAACTATGCCACTTGTTTAAAAATACCAGAGTAGCTTGACAAAAAATGTTGAAGTCTTTTCTTGTAATGTAGAAATTTTATAAAAAAATGCAAACATACTCACTTCCAGGTTCTTTGGCATACATCAAAGTTTACAGTGCTACATTCATTTTCAACTTCTGCAACAACAAAAAACCAAGGCTGTCATGGTAAACAGATAATTCATCTTATTCTTAGCCCTTATCAGCAAACAGGAGCACGTGCTTGTTTCAGAACATAAAAGGCAAAGGACAGTCCAGGCAGTTTAAGATGTTCTCCAGGTCGCAGGTCTATTCCCTGAAGAGGAGGGAGCGTCTGCTCATCCACCATCTTGAGCAAAACTCCATTCAGTCTAACAGCCCTGAAAATGAAAACGCACAGAGCTGGAACCTGATTAACTTGAAACAAGATGGGGTGGAACCAAACATACTGGATGTACAATAAAATACAAAACAGCCAGTGTAGGACACAGTACCTGGACTGGAGTCCGTCCACACCTGACTCTGCTGACTGGAGTACATAAGCCTCAATGGTGCTGTTGGAGAAGAGGGCTGGCAGACTGAGTGTGGCTTGATTTTTGCTTAGGTTTAGGGCAAACAGCGTGACTGCACCTTGTCTGTAACTTGAACTAGGGAGAAAAGAATGATAATGATTTCCTTCATTGTCATTTTTGAACAACAGTTGGACTATTTCAATACAGAATGTCTCAAAGTGTGATCAAGCATGCTTAAGAAAAGTCACTGGAGATTTAAGATGCAGTACCTTTTTCTGTTAGTGCAATGAAGATACATCCGTAATAGCCGTTTGTGCTTTGAATTCGAGACAACTTCTACTTTCAGCACTTCGGGTCCAACTAGCCTTTTATAAAGCACTGACAGCCAGTAATCCTACCGTAAAGACACACAGGGTGAATGTCCTGATGAGAATTTTGCATAGAAGATCAGAAAATGTCACATAGGACTTTATTACTATTATGTTTTTGTGAAAATGAGCCATAGCAAATTGAAAAAGAAAAAAAATACTGCTGAGTGCAAGAAGACATTTAAGTACAAACTAAATGACCATACTTTGCAAGTTCTACACATACTAAACATAAAAGAACAGACATTCAGCTTTGACATTGAGCCACATGTAATGGTACGCAACTTCATATAGCATCGATACAAAATACATACTGGAAGTGGATCGAGGTTATCATCCACCAGATGGTATGTACCAGAGCCAATCAACACCTGTCTGATGACGACGTCCAAACCCATCTTGGCAGCAAGTCCAAGTTTGTCCAGCCACCTTGAGTAAACAAACGACATTCATTCAAAAGACAAAACAGAAACAGTTAAGACCTTAGATAAGAGACCAATGCATGTTCCCCCTGTATACATAAACGGGAATTCCACTGTGGTTTTTTATAAATTCTGCAGAATTGAAGCTTCCGCAAAGAAAGCTATTATAAAATATTGTTGTAAATACACTGCACAATGCCTGAGACATTGTTTTATAGGAGTTCTCAGACAAAACTTTGCCTAAAATGTATTTAAATACATGCACAGTGAGACATGCAGACTGTTGTAGTGGGTGATTTTCTCTACAATACACCATTTTTTATAAACTACTCTGGATGCCGTTGTTTATATTTCAACCTTTTTTGCAGAAGCTTAAAACACATGCTATAGTGTTATTTCATTTAACAAAGTGTCATGTAGCTACAATACAAGTTTGTATTTAAAATCAGAAAACACTTATTGTATTAAATAACAAATTGGCTTGTATAAAAGGAACTGTGTTATGGTTAATGGGGCATGTTACCAACTTTTTAAACATCTGTTTTATATGGCTATATGAATTTGCATAAAATGCACAATAGTGCCCATGTCATTTACTGACTCTTATATAACTTTGACCAAAGTTATTTTAACAGGAACTCACATAAAACCAGCAACAAATGTGTCAGAGAGGCCCAAGGCACCACCACCATATGCTGAGCTCGTCTCTCCAAGCCAGACTCTCTTCCCAGGAGACACCGACCACACAGTCTACACAAAGATGAATACACTGAATAAATCAGTGTGTATATAACAGAATAACAGCCTGCTGTACAGTTGCCCACCTCATTTCAGGGGACCACGATTAACTGGACAAATTAACATAATCTTTATTCGTCTTCTTCAGCACTTTTTGCAAATTCTGATGCCTGTGACTCACAGACATGATGAAATGCTGGGTATTACTCTGGTGATTTTGTAATGTTGTAATTATCAGTTCCTGTTTGCTTCAGGGGCTTTTTGCAATCACTCTCATCTTCAGTAAGTGTCATCAACAAATTTTGGTTTATTCTCATGAAAATGCAATACTAACTGCTTTATTACCGTGCTTCATGTCATTTTCTTACTGTAAGGGAAAGCACTATTAACTGAATTACATTTGCTGAAGAAAAATGTGGAAGGGGAGAGGGCTATGCATATTCCTATAGGGTTCACCATCCAGTATATAGTACTGTGCAGACCACCATGCATTTATTTCATTTCAAATCAAAACAGCCATTTAGCATCGGTTATTCATTCATTCAGCATCAGGAAAAAACAGAAAATATATTTTGCATTTTAACATTACACAGAAGCCTCAAAAACTAAATGTTGTTTTCTTTGTATCTAGAGTACCCCTCTTTTGTCTTTATTACAGCTTTCATTCTTTTCTGGAGATCTGCTTTCAGCTTTTCAAAGAAAAATGCAGGGATTTTCCACACCTGCAAAGTTCAGTCTTAAAAGCTGGTTGCATTTTCTACTTCTCTCAATTCAAGTAACCCCACATTCAGGTGATGTTGTAGTATGAACTCTGGGGTGGACGGTCCATTGTTCTGAGAACACCAGTAGCTTCTTTGTTTGATCTGCAAATTTCCTTTCTCAGTAATGGCTTCTTATAGCACTGAGTTGTCTTCTTACAGTGGGAGGATGGACAAAAACACTTGTGTATTTTCAGATCTGAATCTTAAATTGAGCTTGATTTTCTCCTCTCTCTCTAAGATGAAAGATTTAAGTGCTGTTTATCTGATGGTTACAGTTTTAGTGGTCTACCAGCAGAGCCGGCTGGCCCTATACACTCACTACAGATGGTGTGTAGGGCGCCAAAAATTACGCCTTCCCCTTGTGTCAAAACTACTTTTTGTTTACAACTTCAATGAGAGGCAGAAGCAGAACTATTCTGGGAACAGCAATCAGGTAAACTTGTGTTCTCTCCAAATTTGATGTCAGCAAATAACAGTAACGTTTAACTAAAAGTTAATGTGCTACCTGGGCAGCAAATCTCTCTCTCTCTCCCTCTCTCTCTCTCTAGTCTGTCAGAATGAATTACTACTTACTTAAACATAACTATTTATTACATTTGATGTTCACCAATGGGCAACAGAGTTTATAAACTGCAGCTCGGAGAAGATAACCAAATCATGCATAAATATATGTATGTGTACAAAATTAGACTTGTGCTTTGCAGCAGCAGCCTCTGTGGAGACCAGTCCAGTCAGGACAATATATGGGCGTGGTGACACAGTCCTCATAGGTGCACATCATTTTAAAACAAGACAATGATTATCTAGTCTCTCGGTCAATTTTCAGTTGCAATTCTGGGCTAATGCAAAATGGAAAGCAATAGATTGACATTGACTATTGATTAAATATTGAATTAAAATGTTCATTAGCTGAGGATACTGGGCAATTCAGATGTACATCTCTTAGTAAATAATAAACATCAAGTATTCAGCCAAGCCACATTATAAATATTATTTTATATTTGAAAATGTATAAAAGGAAATCCGGGAGAGCCAGTCTGAATGGGGCTGATGCAGCTGAAAAAATTATCTGTAATTTTCAGGCTTTCTTTTAATTTTCTCATGCTGTGCCTGAGTTTGAAAGTAATTATGTTCATGTTAATATTCATTTTTCTTCAAGATTCTACAGCAAAAAATTCTATTCAATAAATATTTGTTTGTTTATACCTCATTCCGTTCTGTATAGGCCTACTTATTTTTAGACCAGCTGATGGAGCAAACTGTTTTAAAGGAGGGAAGACTGTAGTGGGCGCACAGGGGTGTCAGGTGTGACTGTGAGGCTCACAGGTCTGGTAGGAGGGCTTCTTGGCAGAATTTTTCTTAGGGCCCGAGGGAGGTCAGGACTGACTCTGTCTACCAGGTTTGGCATTGTTGTTAAGAATCTCGTTACTTGTTTTGACTTTCCTCTTACATAGCAAGTCAATTATCCGGTGTCGACCAGAGGAGGATGGGTTCCCCTTCTGAGTCTTGGTTCAAGGTTTCTTCCTCCTTCTCTTGGGAGTTTTTCCTTGCTACTGTCACCACTGGCTTGCTAATGGGGGCTCGGACCCGGATTTTCTTTCTGTAATGCTGATTTTTTTTTTTCTTTCTGTAAAGCTGCTTTGTGACAACACCTGTTGTAAAAAGCGCTATACAAATAAACTTTGCTTGCTTGCTTGCTAACAAGTCAATTATCTACTCTTCTCAGAAAAATCTCCTAAAATGAATAACTAGAACTTTAAAACATTAAATAAATGAAGGGTGGTCTCTGACTTTTGCACAGTAAAGCAAATCTCAACACCGTAAAATACACCTGACATTGTGTACTTAAAGCTCAGTCACTGCTTCATTTCAAATTAGATGTGCTGGAGCACAGAACCAGAAAAAGGTCACTGATCAATTGTTTATATACTGCATGCAATTTAACAAAAGTTAAAATACTTTTTTAATTAAGCCCTTCATGAAGGATATGCTAATAAAAGATAAGGATACAGTAAATAGGCTTTTACCTCAAGGACCTCATTAGTTTTGACAGCCAGTGTGTCCAGCACTTCAGGATCTTTAAAATCCTCCAAGGATGTATCTCTACCATTGACATAATAGCTAATGGCCAAGGAAAAAAACAAGGCATTAAAAGTAAAATATGATGAAACTGATAAAAGATAATTCAAAGAACTGTAGACAAAATGGATAAAATACAGTACAGAAGACAGATGAGGACAGTCACGCTCTCTCTCTGAAAACCCACATGTAAGGTTTCACAAGAATAACCACAGCCTTTCTGTTTGCTCAACAATCAGGCATGTGTGAGACATGTGATTTAGTGTGTTGTGCACTAAAAGTTATGCAGTGTAACATACTGGTGCCAGGTACACGCGTCAATGGCATTACTTGCAGTCTCCAAAAACCTGTTAAAAAATAAACACAATGGGTTGAGCTTGCATGCCAACAGCATGACTTCCAACAGCTTTAAATTTGGGAACTTCAGAGTCAACTTGCTTATACATTTTGCTGCAGAAGGTTTGGCGCATTAAAATGCATTATGCAATCTACTTATATCTAGACTGCTTGTCAAAAGTTTGGGGACACTTTGCCTTCGACCATCTTTTGAATGTAATGTTTAATCTTCACTTCTACTTTTCAATTAAGTATGAAAAATATCTACAAAGGTTAAAAGATTAATATCATGAAAAAACACCACTCATTCCCCAGTCCATACGTGAAAACTGCAGAAACAGTCCATTTTGAATTCCCTGTTTCTTTGATTGATATATATCTGCCTATTCAGCCTGCAGCAGTTTAGCCCCGCCAATTCACGCTGAAGTTATAAGGTATGAGCTGCTTTTTGCATGAGGCAGAATAATGCAGCCAATCAGAACAGAGGTCATTTACATGTCAGTCTTAAAGGTACAGTGGAAAATTGTATTTAATAAAAAATGTCATGTAACAATTTATTTCACTATTTTTGGCAAATAAAACCAAAAAAACTTTAGAAGTGAACCTCGGGGTAAAAAATGAATACAAAAAACATGTATGATATGGGCCTTTTAACATAAATCAGTTATTTACTAATATTTTGGGTATATTTTGCAATTCTTAACTTCATGCTCCTCAAAGTGATAATAATAATAATAATAATGAATATGAAGCTGTGTGAAGAGCCTGGTTTGCCTAAACAGTAATTTGACAGTTTTCTTTTACACACCTTTCCTGAAAACACATACTACAATATATCAAAACAAGGGGATAAAATGTATGGGATATGGTATTATTCCCAAAGTAGTGCTTTTGTCTATTATCCCTTCAGTTCTGCAGTATTTATGTCTAAACAACTGTCTATTTTGCATGTTAATGCAAACTGAAACAATGCAAACATATAGTCATGCGCATTTATTATAGACCACTCAAAACACTTTTGACAGGAAGTGTGCACACAGACACACTGACCCTGTAAGTAGATCTTTGCGGTGGTTTCTTGGCTGACTGACGTCTGGTCCGTACAGCCCTGATGAGCTGTAGATTCTAGATTTCTGCAGGATCTTATAAAGATGGCGGAAATCCTGGCCCAGCTGGTAACCGTCTACCCTGATTCCTGCCTTCTTCTCATAGCTGTTGGGTTCTGTAAGCCCCAAAACAATATGGTTATAAAAGGACAATAAATTGTGAAGACACTTCAGACTAACCACTAACCAATGACAATGACTTCATTGTCTTAAGAATACAGCACAACAAACTGAGCATCTTTTCTACTGCAAACAGATTCAGAGCAAAACCATATTTTATGTCACACCATTGCCCAGCTCCCAGGACATGATGTACTGTCTGGATTCACAGTAGTTCATCAGCAGCTCTGCATTCTGGCTGTCCCAGACATTGTCAGGGGTTCGGAGCAGCGCATTCAACCCAAAGATCAGGTCCAATCCAGAGCAGTTTGCAAAGGCATACAGCAGGTCCACTGCACTTTCTGTCCAATCATAAAAATGAATCAGTAAACTCAATTAGCTCTTACCAAAATGTGCTATGTTTGATTTGTTAACAATAAAGCACTTGCCAACCATTATTCAGTGTTAGAGGATTAGCTTACTTACCTGAGAAATTCATTTTGCTGTATTTTCCAAGCAGCTCTTCCTGGTGTAAGACTGAGGTCTGCAGTGCCCATTCCTGCTTCAGCCTCTTTTCTTGCAAAGGTGGAAGCTCAAACCTGTCACAGGAATGTCCTATAAAACAGAATGTTTCCGTTTTGGAACAGGTTTTCACAGTATGAAGCCGAAACAGAATATAAACAAACATCAGTAGAATAACATCAACAAAAGACATGACCTTTTAAGGGTCCTTGTGCAAAAAAAAATTCTCCAACCTCTCTTTATCCCATAGAACTGTTTGTTCTATGTCACAAAAAACCTCAATTCTTTTCCAATTGTCTACATCATTTGAACTCAGCTGTCCTTTGCATTGTGTAAAGAGTTCATAATGAATGGACCAATAGAAATGCTACAAAATGATTTACATTATTTCATGCTCCAAAGTTTTTAGATTCTTGAATTAAAAGTTCTGAAATGTTGAAGATAATTGTTTATTTACGTTTTTTGCAGGATAACAACATATGTAAATGAACTTTGTTCTGATTGGCCCTGCATTCTACCTCATTCAAAAAGCAGTCTGGGCTGAAAACCTTCAACTTCAGTGTAAATGGGTGAAGCTAAACTGCTGTAAGCTAAATAAGGGGATGTAGGTAAATAAGTTGGGTTTGTGACCTCAACATGGGCTGCTGTTGCAGATTAGTAACATGGCCTGTGTGTTCACATATAGGTCAACTTTTATCTTAAAACAGCATGGAAAATGAGGTTTAAAGTTTTAGAATTACAAAGGAGGAATATATCATGTTGTAGGTTATGAGGGGCTCTTTTTTAAAACGGTTACTGTGGTTGAGATGCATTAAGAATAAGTGAGATAAACAAATGTCAGGGCTGTCTGTGTAATGTTGAAGGAAGCTAACTAGTGATGTATGCTGCTAAGAAATTGTATTTTTTTTTTTGTGATGGGGAGTTTATACAGGGGATTTACACACTAACCACATATCTAAAATCAGCAACACCTCTCTGCAATGAGAGATCTTCCCTATAAGTTCTCCATAGACTTGGAATTTCGGTGAATCAGGCTCCTGTTCTCTTATTAAAGGAAAACAGGAATCATGCTGGAGAAGTCAGATGACCACAGTAAAGCTTTCTAAAGCTCACGCGAAACGACACAATAGGGGAAATAAAATAAGACAGATGAGGACAAAGAGCGCGTACCTGGATAATGAAGGGAACTGTGGTCGTTTGACGTGCAAAGTTCCCTCTGTGGGCTGAACTGCATAAAATCTTGCTCAGTTCCTCCAAATCGCAAAAACGCTGGAGTCAATGCCTTTGCTAGAATTCTCAGTTTTGGTGATCTATAGAAAAGTCACACATACGCTGTGGTTCAGAGCCATAAGCTACTAACAAGTCACAAAACCTGGACACAATCGTAAATAACCAAACGTCTGTTGGCTCTGCAGTAACCGGGTTAAAGGGGAATTCCACCGAATTTTCAAAATTCCTTCGTAATCAAATGGCTGTGAACAAAGTCACACACAGTGCTATGATGTGAAATGCTACGTTCTGGAGAAACTAACCTAGTCAGAGTGGTTCACAGTGGTTCTGATAACCAGACATCTGAACAGTTTAACACTTCTAAGTTCCTTCACAGAAAGTTATCACATGAAATGGTTACTAATTTGCTGCCTAATGTTTGAGACGTTCTTTACGATAGTTTTACTATGCGATTTTGGATTTGTCGACAAAAAATATTTTTCAGATTTTCCACTATATTCCCCATCATCAACATTAGTTTTAAAACCCAGAAGACACGCGTATGTTCACTGGTGGTTTTGGATAGTAAATAAATTGTCCACATCTGCGTTGTAGACGTTTGGTTCCTAACACCACCACTGTAAAGAAAATCAGAGCAGTTATGTTTCTCCATAATCATTGCGCACCAAACCACTTTAAATGACTTGTTTACATCTCAGTGACTGAATTGTGCACAAATTTTGAAAAATCGGTGGAGTTCCCTTTTAAAGTGGCAAAACGTGCATCACATGGTGAGACTCACCCAAGTAGGTACATGAACTTCTCTCGGGCCATTAAATCTGCATCTATAGCCACGGAGAGAAATCTTTCGTTCACTTTTTTGTCAACACGAGAAACATCCAGTTCGAGATTCACCTCTTTAAAACCGTCTTCAACCAGAGCTGGAACTGCCTCAGCTCGCAATGTGTAGAAGAAAACAGCAGCAATTAGATGAAACGGAGCAAAGGCGCCGGCAGAGTTCCTGAGTCTAGGCTGCCCCATGGTGTCTGTGAGCTGTAGACTGAGCTACATCAGTGTCGCTTTCCTCCTGCTGAGTACGAGTGAAAAGGAAACATCGCCAAAACTATTAAAACACATGACTCAGCTGATCGTACGCATATTTCCTGTAACGAGCTCATACTAAAGGACCGCTGACAACAGACTAAACAAACAAGGCGGGAGTGGAGCCGGTGGGAGGGGATTGGGGCCCATACGTGAATTACAGCTCACAGCGGATTGGAAGACAAGTGAGCGTGGGCGGAACCATGCACTACGATTGGCCACAGAATTCTTTCAATTCTAGGCGAGCATAAAAGGCGTGGCTTTGTTAAGAGGCAAACAGGTAAGAGAGTACAAGGTGCACCGCTTCACAGCATCTTTATTACATTTTTGGATTCAGAAGTTTGTATGATAAAGAATTTCACACTAATGTAACGTTACATGTCTTTTATTTAGAGTAGCCACATGGCCAAAGCAGCAATGAATATTTACAGAAAGCTAAAAAATAAATATACATATAAAATTACATTATAGACAGATTTACATTGATGGCAGGTCAACAGGTAACATAAGCAGGTCATTAACCTCCTCCTGCAGGGCCTCTGCCTTCTCTTGTAACAGCATCTGAAAAAGTTACAGTGACAGTTAAGAGGAGATTGAATAAGTGCTTACTCATTGTGAAACTGGACAGTCTTAAAACTGACCACACGTCTGCTGCAACGTCTCCTGTTGTGAGACCAGTTAGCATTTTATTAAAAATAAATATATATAAAAAAAAAAACACTAACTTTTGCGGAAGCCACAATCTGATTGGCTTGCCTCTTAAAGAGGTTCTCCACTTTTTTGACAAGTACATTTGGGTCAGCGTTGGCAAGATGAGCCAGTGTCTTATATCCAGCATTGTAGAGCTGCTTCGCCCGGAACTAGAAAACAAAGAAAGCAAAGATACATGCATGAGTCTTCATATGGACTGAGGGTATGATATGCTTTGTGTTATAAGTTTAAACACAAAGCATATTAAAGAAGAATTCCACCAATTATTCCAGAATTTCTGCATAATTCAATCACTGAGATTTAAACAGTCATACAGAGTAGTTTGATGTGAAATAGTTCATTGTAGAGAAACTTCCTTCTCATTGTATGGTGCCTTGTCAAGAAGACTTGTGGGCATCTGAGAAACAGAGAGCTATGCTGCCTGGGGGTTTTAAACCTACTACATATTTTGGGCGGCAGCAATATAGGACGATGTCAACGGCACAGACATCAATTCAACTGTGTGGAAGAAGGCAATGGTAAACTATTTCTGCACATTTACCAAGAAAACAACATGGATAGGAACAATACACTGACTGTCGCTGAGACCTAAAGACAAACTGAAGACAGGATATTGAAGAGAAACACTATTCATATGGTTGGCAGGAGTCAGAATAGACTTACAGTACTTAACAATTAGAGAAACTTATCAACTAAATGGTTTACAGCACTGGCGAGAGAGGAACCAGAGGTCACAATGTGCGTATCTACTTTATTTACTATCCAAAACAACTAGGGAACCAACTAGTCAGAGTCTTTATGTGCCATGTTGATAATGATAAAAGAGCAGTTAATCTGGAAAAAAAAATCCTTTGGGTACTAATTTTTCCTTACAATGCCCTGTACCTATATAATGCCTATACCCCTCCCACATGAATGTTCTCAGAAAATATATGTTTTAGGGCAAAAGCTTATCTCAAAACTATCATAAAACAATGTCTCAGGCATTAGGCAGTGTATTTATAACAATTTCATGTGGTAACTTTATGTGAGGGAGCTTTTAGTGGCATCAAACTCAGTAATTTCCTCTGTAACAGCACATTTCACAGCAAACCACTCTGAATGACTTAGGTGGTATTTACACCTTAATTTAATTATGGAGAAATTTAGCAAAAAAGTGGATTTCTCCTTTCATCAGACTGCTTCATTACTTTATCACTTGTTAATATTAATGTATGCGTATAAAAAGAATGCAGTACTCTGTATATAGTCTGCGTGGGTTTCCTCCGGGTACTCCGGTTTCCTCCCACAGTCCAAAGACATGCAGTCAGGCCAATTGGACATGCTGAACTGCCCCTAGGTGTGAATGTGTGTGTGAATGTGTATGTATGTCTGTCTGTCTGCCCTGTGATGGACTGGCATCCTGTCCAGTATCCTGCCTTCTGCCCAGTGACAGCTGGGATAGGCTCCAGCACCCCACCGCGACCCAGAAGGATAAGTGGTTTAGATGATGTATGTATGTATGTATGTATGTATGTATGTATGTATATAGTCTGTGGATACTGAGTCAGAGTATATATAAAATTAGAGGAAACAGTTTCATTTCTACATAAGCAAACCACTAAACCACTAAATATGAGTCATTATCAGCAGAGTACTCAACTGAGTGTGACCTCACTTTGATACATGTGACCTTACTGTGCATTATTAAACAAATGGTTCACCTAAAAATATATATAACATATATAATAGGCTAATGTAATAGAAGCACACGTCTTACATTATTTTTTAGCTATTTCAACCTCGTAGCTCCAGAGCAAAATTAACAAGGAAACAATGGACACATCCAATTGAACATGTCTTGGCCAATAAACTGCATTCCTCTTCAACTCCTTGAGACCACTTTGTCATATTCTTCGTAAGTTTCATATTTCATAAGCTACATTCAAAAGGTGGGGGTCATATGAGAGCTGTAACTGTCTTCTTTCCGGTCCAATATATGGGTAATGTAATTTTAAACCCTTATAATAAAAGAAGCTGAACGCACAATTTTTTTTTCCTACTGAAAGTTGACCCATTTTTCCACAAATCTGGGCTATAAATTATAAACAGATGGTGTCTCTTCAGTGATCTGCTCTGTAGAAATTATGTTTATAAAATAATACAAAGGGTGTCTAAGATCTTTGGCTTTCAGCAGTAAATTGTAAGCATATGGCAATATGTGTATGATCATAAAACAAGTTCTGTTAATTTGAGGGGAAATTTATTAAAAAATAAATTAAATAAATAAAATAAAAAGAATTACATTTATTTCATGCAGTTACTGAATAATCTGCCTTACAATTTGGTCATGTAAATTCAGATGGAAAAAACAAAATATACCCTGGTGCATAAGAGTTTAAAACTAGTATACTATTCTTTACTGTACACTTTCTACTTTGAATTAGTCTTTCAAATTTAAAAGCATGCTATTCAGTTGTATTTCTGTTCATTTTAGAGGAGATAATGGTTGCATGCAGAATGAACTGATGTTACTGCGGAACTGAGGAGAAGAGATTTCATACACACCTCCATGACTCCAGCTACCTCCATTAGTGGAATGAGTTCGGTTTGTACACAGTAGGTCAGCCTTCGGGTCAGTTCTGTTAGGAGGGCCTTATAGGCCCAGAACTCCTCCAGCTCCTGCAAGGACATATCAAGATTGAAATGTGCACAAACACCACTGAGATTCTGACCTACCAGAATAAAATTCAGTAAATGCACAATCCTTCAATAACTCAGAAGGCCTACACAGGTGATAAGGCAGCTGAGAATGGCCAATGACACTATGCGGATATTTTGAAGATTCTGGCTGACACATACAGCGGTGTGCAAATGTCAAAGACAACCCTCTATTTAATTCATTTGCAGTAAAATGTTATTTATTTTCAGGAGATATTAGATATAAAATAATCCACTTGCAAAAGGAGTTCACATTATTTTTAAAGATCTAGAAAAAAATGGGACTCCTAACAACCATGAAAGGGCTAAAACACCATCAAAACAGTCACCATCAGATAAACAGCACTTAAAGCTTTCATCTTTAAGAGAGAGAAGCAGATAAAGCTCCACTTATCCTTCAGATCTAAAGAATCCACTGGTGTTTCTGTTCGTCCTTCCACTGTGAGAAGACAACTCAACACTATGAGAGTCTGAAAAAGTGGAAAAGAGTGTGGAAAAATATTCCTGCAGAGTTCTTTGAAAAGTGTCTCAAAAAGAATGGAAGCTGTAATACAGGCTGTGGATACAGTAAATACTAAAAAAATGATTTTATATTTAGTTGTTGAAGCATCTGTGTAATTTTTTGTTATATATATATATATATATATATATATATATCTTTTCTAGGTTTTTCCTGACTCTGAAAGATGAATGTTATACTTAATGGCTGTTTTGACGGGAAATTAAATAAATGAAGGGTGATCTCTGACTTTCACACAGCACAAATCGACCCAACAACACAGCAATGTGTGGAATGTGCTCTAGTTATACCTCTGTGAAGTGCAGCACACAGGAACAGAAAGCTGAGGCAGAACTGAGAAGCATCTGAACAAAGCCTCTAGTCAGCTGGAACCTGTCGGAGACGCTCCACAGGTTGGTCTCCCTCAGCAATGAATATAGCACCAGTGCCAAGTACAGCCTGTTCACCACCAAAGCGTCCATACACTGACACACAAGAAACAAATCACAAGTGTGAATTACAGTTATCATAACCTGCAGTCTAATAAAGAATGGACAGCCACAAGTGGTTTAAGATCATTGCTATCACTTTTAGCAATTTAAGTTTCAATGTATGGGTAAATGTAATTAAAGCACTAAGCAAATCCAATTTAATTCCATATAAAAAGACATGAGAATCACTTTTAACTTCAACACAAAGGTACGAGATGAATGCAGTCCAACCTTCCTCACGCTCTGTCCAGCTGCTTTCCTAGCCACAAAGCTCTCAGGCACCCCTATTGTGGCTGCCATTTTTTGTTCAGCAGCAGACAACTTTGTGAACTTTAAAAGAAGAAAAACATCTTTTTATCTTTAAACAACTTTTTATAAAGGATCAAGTCATACATCATTTATAAGCAAGTCATACATCATTTAACAGAAACATGTCAAAAGCTACTATTCAAAATACTATTACAAGGTTCTACATGCAAACTGTAACAAAAAAAATGTCCATTCAAGTCTGAGACTGCAAGCCTCTCACCTGTGTGAAATATAGCATCCAGTCTGGTTTGCTTTGGGAAACCATCTCATAAGGAGTGACCAGGTATACCAAGTGCAGGAAGCTGTTGAGCAGCAGACCCTCCAGACCTTTTGACAAATCTCTGTAGAGGACATCACAATAGCTTAGGTCTACTGAGCCTGAGGAGGGGACAAAGAA